TTTCAGAACATTATCCAAATTCCATTTCTCAGCTTTCTCTCTTGTAAAATGGGGGCAGTGTCAAGTGAAGAGCTCATTAGCTTTCTAAGTGTGCAAGGAATAACCCTGGAATCTGGGGGCCAGGAGAGTCTGGGATTGAAGAGCAGCTAGGGAGGAACCACCTTACATATGCCATAAACACAAAGAAACCCTAAAGTGGAATTGAGGCTGGCAGGAAGGGTGCAGGAAGGGTGGGCGGTGAGGTGAGAGGAATGTGGCATTCTGGAAGCCTTGACAGGAGGCACTGAAGCAGGCCCTGGTCAGCTGAGTGCTGCTGTAAAGGGAGTAGAGAGGGGGGAGGAAGCCATGCCATGTGCCAAGGGAAAAGAACCAGCAGCGAGTGGCAAAGTTTGGTAAGAGAATAGGAGAGGAGGCAGCAGAGGCCAGAGCTGGATTGATGGGAGTTAGCTGGCTGGGGACAACAGGGCATACAGATTCTGATGCCAACAGGCAGTTGGAGGCACACATGGACCATCTTTTTTGCCTATAAAATCTCCCAGTAAGTGCCACACTTACTAGGAGGATGGTGGAGAAGGTGCTGGAGGCTTAGGAGAGTCTGACATGGCTGTGGGACAGTGTGTGGACAAGTCAGTTGCACCCAGGCACAGCATGTGGTCACAGTGAGGCGAGGCTACGCTTGGCTACAGCAGAGGTAGGACGACTTAAGAGGGGACAGGGAGGTGAGCTGACAGAGTCCATGTAGTGGTGCCCCAGTAGTGGTCAGAGGGCTGTTGTTGATGAGTACTCAGTGAATACCATGAGCAAACAAAGGTGCAATCAGAGAAGAGCTCTCTAGAGGAGAAAAATGTTAAGTGGCTAGTTCCAAGCCAGTGTTGGCACCAGAGCAATGAGGAGCTGTGAGAAGCAGGGGCCATCAGACAATGAGCAAGGGACCCTCCAAAACTAGCATGGGTGCTCACACTCTTGGGGAGTATAGGAGGGACTTGCTCTGATACCTGGGATTCAAAGCAGGCTTTTTGAGTAGTAACCTCCAGCTGCAGGGCCGCAGGGGTGTGATGTAGCACCCATTCCATCAGCGAAAGGACCAGTCAACACTAGAGGAAGGTGCTAACAGGCCCAGAGTGGGGACTATGGGAACAGGAGTCCTGGAAAGCTCAGGTAAAAGGCATTAGGAGCGAGGCAAAGGCAGAAAGTGAACACAGAGCGGAAGATACACTAAGGGTCATAGTAGGTAGGAGGGTCCTGTGCAGGAATGGGCAAAAGCAGGGGTAAAGGGCACAGCAACATGGAACACTGTTTTGCTTTGTGTTTCTAGCTATCCATGTAGCTCTGATCATACCACTCAATGCTGCACCGTTCCTCAGTACCTGAGCTTGTGTGCATGTGTGTTGCTGAATATGACCTGAGTTTTCTGCTCTACAAAACCTTCCTAGCTGGGCATTTAATCTGGGGTAGTAGCCATGGGGTTGCCCCCACCTCCATATGACTAAAAAGACATGAATTCATAATCATGTCCCAAAGGATGTCCCAAAGAACTGAAATAACAATTTAGTACAGAGGTGAAGTCTAAAGCTATGTCTCCTCGTGTAACCAAGAGGCTGATGAGAAGGAGGGGCTTCAGAAATATTCCTGCCAAAGACAGGAAACATGAGACTTGTCAGGCCTCCATCTTTGATGCCTATAGTGAAAACTAGGCATTTACATCAAAAGCTGCTAAAACCATTCAGTAGAAACATTACATTCAATGGATCAGGGCTGAAGAGACTCCCACCCTCTGATCCATCTTAATGTCACCCAACCTGATTGGTACACATCATCTAGGAAGTAAAGTATTCTTGCAGGGGGCAAAGAACTAGAGTCAAACTTCTCTAGTTCTTAACAACAGCATACAGGAAATAAAGGAGCCAGAGATAAACAGATTAAGCCAAATAATGTCACAGAAATAGAATCAGCCAAATCCAGAAAATAGGAACTACAGGTAAGTGTCACCATCACCATAGATAAACTGAAATTAAAACAGGGAGGCCTATATAACAACAGAAGCCAGGCAGGAAGCAAATTCAATGAGCATTACTTGTGTTTGACTTTTATTGAAACAAAACCAAATATGAAAATAAGGCAGAAAAATTTGAACACTGACTGGATACTGATACTTTTTAAGAGTATTTTTTAAACAAAGATTAAAGATGAGAAATTAAGGGTTAAAGACAGACATGTTTTGCTAACTGCAAGCAAATTACATTCATTTCTCTGAGCATTAGTCTCATCTGCCTAGTATGGGAAATTATCTCATTGGTCTGGTGTAAGGATGTGGTTAATCCATGAAAAGAACATAGAACATGGGGCTGGGAAGGTGGCTCAGTGGTAGAGCGCTTGCCTTGCATGCTCAAGGACCTGGGTTCGATTCCTCAGCACCACATAAGCAAAAAGAAAAAAGCCGGAAGTGGCGCTGTGGCTCAAGTGGTAGAGCACTAGCCTTGAGCTGAAAAGCTGAGGGACAGTGCCCAGGCCCAGAGTTCAGGCCCCACTACCGGACCAAAAAACAAAAACAAAAACAAAACATAGAACATAAAACAGAATAAAGTGCACAGTGGCTCCTCGCAGTGTGCACTGGAAGGCACTTCTTCTTTATGTTCTTCTGACATGGATGAAAATGGGATCAGCAAGAAGAAGGGGTGGTTGGGAAGGTAAAACAGAGTTTGATGATCACCAGCTGCTGAAAGAGCCAGAAAAGCGGGGGGGGGGGGGCGCTTAAATGTGAAGAATGAAGGATGCTGATGAAGCGATTAGTGAGGGTCCGTGAGGCCTTACTGTCCACCATCTGAATATAGCAACAGCACCAGCAACAACATTCCTGAGCCCAGGAGAACATTTCAGCTCGCTCGCATGGCTGGGGTGCCTGTGAGGAGTATGTGGCAGGTACATACATGACTGGGGCTGTCGCCAAGCTCTGGGCTTGTCCTCAAAGTTACTTTTAGGACTGGGTGACAATGGACTGCCTCATCTCTTCTGCAAACCAGCCCAAAGGTCCAGTGGCTGCTTTTCTATTCTGGGCACCCACTGTGAGACGTGGAAGCCTATGTCTCCCAGAGCATGAACTACAGGGGGTTCTGGTGAGTCAGTCAAGTGTGTACCTGTACCCATTGAAGACAAAACAAGCACAAATGCTGGACACCATTAGCCCTTCTGGAAGCCTGGGGTTACTCTCTAAATCCTGGGCTAGGCTCACAGAATGTGCAGCAACCTGACGCTGTGGTCAGACAAGCTCCAGCACTGAGAGCTTCTTTCCACCATGAGAAAGCAAAATAACGACTCCTTAGGAATTATTCCATGACGGTGCCCTACATGGTACACTGCCAGGTTGTCTGTCAGGTGTGTAAATATAAATACACTTCTGGAGAGAGGGCTTGTGAAAGACTTGTGCACAACAAAAAGTTACATTTTATGTTGGACACTAAAAAAAGAAGAATTAGGCTGAGTGCCTAGAGCTCATTCCTGTAATCCTAGCTACTCAGGAGACTGAGATCTAAGGATACCAGTTCAAAGCCAGCCCAGATAGAAAAGTCTGTGAGATTCATCTCCAATTAAACACCAACCCACTGCTCGTCTTGAGCAACAAAGCTCAAGGAGAATGCTCAGATCCTGATTTCAAGTCCAAGACTCAACACGAAAAAAATAATTTTAAAAAATCCAGTATCAACAAGGCAATAAATTTCAGAGAAAAATTACTGAAAACAAACATAGCCAGGCACAGGTGGCTGGTGCCTATAATCCTAGCTACTCAGAGGAGGCTGAGATCTGAGGACTGCAGTTTGAAGCCAGCCCCAGCAGGAAATCCATGGGACTCTTATCTCCCCTGAAGTGGAGCTTTGACTCAAGTGGTAGAATACTAGCCGAGAAAAAAAACAGAGGGACAATGCCCAAGCCCTGAGTTCAAGCCCCAGGACCAGCACACATACAAAAAACCCAAAACAAAACAAAATAAAATAATGAAAAACCAGGAATCAAGTCTATGCTAAGTCAAATGCAAAGTTATATAGATAGTATTACTTTAGAAATATGACTTACATGTTCACAAAATATATGTCCAATGACAGGCATTGGTAGCTCATCCTAGCTACTTCAGAGGATCATAGTCCAATGCCAGTCCAGGCAGGAAAGTCCGTGAGTTTCTTATCTCCAATTAACCACCAGAAAATGAGAAGTGGTGCTGTGGCTCAAAATGGTAGCGTGCTATCCTTGAACAAAAAACTCAGGGAGAGCACCAAGGCCCTGAGTTCAACCCAATAACCGACAATAAATAAATATGTGTATATGTGATATATATATATATATATAGTATTATATATATTATATCCAAGAACAGATTGTATGTGAATACAGACATGCATATGGAAATATGTGTGCATATAAACAACACAGTAGATATATGTTAAGATATACGGCCCTTGGGAGATGCTTTCTCCTCACACTCCTTTTCCCTCTACCTTTAGTATAGATGGAAAACAAGGCACATATAGTTGAAAACCTATTAAAAAGTATACTGCACTAACTACACCAGTATTTAGTTAAAATAAAGCTTAGACTAGTATCTTAACTATGTAAGAAAATCCAAACACCATCTTATGTTAGTTGTTAAAGACTTAAGACCATTTCAAGTGGTTCCATATTCCTTGAACTTTAAGAAACAATAAACAAAGCACATTTTGTTAAAGCATGCTGAATTAAAGATAGTGTATAAAACCAATTTCAAAAGATAAAAATTTCATTCAAAGTATGATTAACATGACATTTAAACTAAAAAGTAACTTGAAATTCTATTGTCTGGTGAGTATTGTCATATATATCTCATATAAATACAATCTATGAACTACTTAAGGATGGTAAAATTATGCAAAGATCTTTGCAAGCTATTCTAGAATGAAGCAATCACCCTAACCCTGTCATGGACAGTCCTACCTCTTACAGCTTGTTCCACAAGTCTACTTCAAGTTCCTTACCTGACACGGAGACTGTGTGTGTTCGAACTCCTTGCTTTTCGCTGTTGGCCAACCTGAAATAAATTTAAGAAAGGTAAGTACTGCCCATCGCAGGCAGGACCAAACCACTGGTCTCATCAAGCAGGGAACTATCTTGGATTAGGCCACTGCAATTCCAAAGGGATTATGGTTTAGGCAGTAATTTTGCTTTAACACCCAAAAGTTATGGGGGTAAAAAAAACCCACATACGTAGAACTAAATTATTTTCTTTGAAACATACTAAATATGACAAGTCGTTCTTGAATTTATGGCGGATTAAAAAAGTTAAGAACTACATTAGTATACAGTATCATTTAGACTTAAACAGTAATCTTAATGCATTTGATTACTTCATTAAATGACTAAAAAACATTACATTTTTACCCACATAAAATTTTGGTTAGGGCTGGGAACTTGATTCAGTGGTAGAGCGCTTGCCTTCCATGCCTGAGGCCCTGGGTTCGATTCCTCAGCACCACATAAGCAGAAAAAAGCCGGAAGTAGCACTGTGGCTCAAGTGGTAGGGTGCTAGCCTTGAGCTGAAGAGCTGAGGGATAGCACCCAGGCCCAGAGGTCAGCCCCCACAACCAACAAAAAGATAATAATAATAATAATTGGCTAAAGCTTCTGGCAACTATTAAAAAATACAATCAGAGTCTAAATGTTTTTGGAAAGTAGCACAGAATATAAAAGAACCCTATAGCTTTTTTAGATGTCAGTTACTTTGGTCTTTTCATAAAAGAGCTCTTCCAGGCCCACAACATGGGAAAATGGAAAGTTTGCTAAAGTACAGAATTTTCTCTAGGAATTACTGAATGTTAAAAATGTCTTTTAAGCGCCGGTGGCTCATGGCTAGCTACTCAGGAGACTGAGACCTGAAGGTCATGGTTCGAAGCCAGCCTAGGCAGGAAAGTCTGTGAGACTCTTATCCCCAATTAACAACCTAAAATCTGGAAGAGGAGCTGTGGCTCAAAGTGGTAGAGTGCTGGCCTTGGGTAAAAACAAAAGAAGTTCAGGGACAGCTCCCTGGTCCTGAGTTCGAGCCCCAGGACTGACACAAAATAAAATGAGTATGTTCAGCTTTTGTAGTGTCTATTAACCCCTTCTAGCTGAAGGGTCTTTTCCTATTTTTAGATAATGTTTATGATTCTTGTATGTCTTATCATTTCTTTGCTTTCCACAAACAGAAGATACTCTAAGCCAGCATGAGTTCCTGGCCTGACAAACGACACTCTCCAATAATACCCAAACACTGCCGACTGAGGGGCTCACTGTTGTGCTTGTCCTTCCTGTCTTTCCCTCTCCCTCACAGCTCTGCTACACTGACCAGGTGCAGATCTTGCCAATGTTGAGTTTACCGGAGTTGCACTGAAGCTTCATAGCGTCAGAGTTGTCTATCCAGTGGAGGTTATGGAAACACCAAGAGATCATTTTCAGAAGTGAGATGATTGAGAGAAATGCAACTAGAAATCTTCCTAGCTCGGGGCCCAGGATTCCAGATGAAGCAATGAAAGAAACCCGAATGAGAAGCTGGATTTAGGTAAAGGAAAGAGGTGGTAGACATTGTGCTATGCAGTGTAGGACACTGGAAAAGCATTGCAGGGAAGACTGAACATTTGCTCAGCAACTGAAAACAGTCAATGGAGCAAAAGGGAATGTGAGAAGTGGCACAAACTGAGGTTAATACCAAGTGTGGTCTTGCATGCATATAATCCCAGAGCTCAGGAAGCTGAGGTAGAGGATTTGTCTAAAAACAAATCCCAGACCAAATAAAACACAAGCAGCCAAAGTAAGAGATGTAAGCAGAACAGTTGGGTAGGCTGCTGCAAGCTATCTGAAGATCATAGCAAGTCAGGTGACAACTTTACTTACGATAGACTCTTTCTCAAACTACAGTGTTAAGAAAGGACAGAATGATGGACAGAGCTAGACAGGAAGGTTGTCAGAACTGTGCAAACATGAGCTGACACTCCAGTGTCAACTGTGGGCCTGGGGATTTGGAGTTCAGGAGTGCTTCCACCATCCCCTTGCTGGGAAGGGTGGCTCCCTCAGCTGACAACATGGCTTATGCTGGGATCCTGCTTTCCTTCTGGGAGCATGGTCTTGATGGACGTTAGTCACAGGGTACACATGTGGCCAGTCCTTATAAACCTCTGGCACCAATCCTTCCTACATCTGAACACTTCCTACATCTGAACCCAGTTAGTGCTAGCGGCTTCAAGTGCATCCAGTAGGATTCCACTGCGAGAGAGCATTTAGAAGCTTCTTGGCTTCTTCAGACTTCACCCCACACCCTTGCCCTTTGCTGAAAGAATTTCTGCTGTGTATTCAACCACATGCAAGCTTCAGAACTGTTGGGCCTGGGTGGTCCTGGTGACAATAATTGTTAAGAACAGGACAGGAAAGCTGAGTGAGTACCAGAAGCTCATGTATATATTCCTAACTACTCAGAAGGCTAAGGTTTAAGGATCATTTTCAAAACCAGGCTCAGGCAGACAAAACAAAGAGACTCTTAACTCTTAATTAATCAGAAAAAGGCAAAGTGGAAGCCTGGCTCAAATGGCAGAGTATTAGCTGTGAGCGAAATAGCTGAGAGCACAAGGCCTTGAATTCAATCCTGAGCTGGCCATGGACTGCATTCTTTTTGCTGTTACCTCCCAAGCAGGTAGGATTATAGACACATGACCTTATTCACCCAAGCCTCTGTATCTGTTTCCACTCAGGAGCACACTGAGCACCTCCCACATCGTTCTTCCTGTTTGTTTCCTTGCTAAACTTTAACTTTTATTTCTTGGCCCCAGTTAGAGGCACTGGCTGAAAATTTAGAAGAAACAGCATGAGATTTATGGTATACTTTTAACTTCTTTTTTAAAAATAGAGCAGCACAGCTATTATAAAACTTGTAATATCAATAAGTAAAATTACACCCAAAACTACAATTCTTCAGTTTTCCTAACTGCCAAGTATCTTGAGCAGTACCTACCTAGGCTTCCATAATGATTTGTGATAATGATATAAAATGCCTTTGGGAGGCTTTAACTGAGCTTTCTAGGCATGCACTGTATAACTTGAGCCATACTCCTAGTCCAAAACTGAATACTTAATAACAATGCATCTGTATTACTATGATTGTTCTTTGGCTTCTTTATTAAACTTAAGATACAACTTTTGTACAAAATAGCACTTACTTTGGTATTGATGGCAATGCCCGTTCACCTTCTGGGGGAAAAAAGGAGAAAAAAAAGATATGAGGTTCCTTGTATTCCTTTTGAAAAGATTGTGTCTAAATCAGGGAAGAATAAGCCTTATTTAGTATTTTAGCAATAATCCCTAATGCATTCATGGTTTTATTTCCAATATTTATAACAAATACCAATACATGTTTAAAATGTGTTGCTAAATAATAATAAAACTGATGTAAAAGACTAAGAACAGTGCCAAACTGCTGCAGACTGCCCAGTTCTGTCCCTAATACTTCCAGGGTGCCTGGCACTGAGGCAACCCCTGACAAATGGGTAGTGAGGAAGAAATCAATCAGCTTGGGCCCGTAAGTGATTTACTCTCTCTACAAACAGCTTTACTATAAATCACATGCAGTTAACTTGCAGGGACCATTGTAAGTCTTAGACATGGCTTCTAAACACTCAACCTCCAAGCAAATCAACCAATTCACACCACAAAATCCAAGCTTAGAATAATAGAAAAAAGGCTAATGATTGAAGTCCCGCACCATCGTCCTATACTCAACACTGTCAACTAAAATAACATGTGACACACATATGATTTATTTCAAGTGACACACTAGTAGGATTTCTAATAGTTGGGCTCTGCTGTAACTTCTGTTTCCTCTGAGGAAAAAAAAAATCAGTCACTATTTGTGGACAGTATGGAATTCCTAAGACACTGGGCATGGACAAAAGAAGGTAGTAAATAAGGTGGTAAAAAAATGCAGGCTCCAGGAAAGCAAATTTGTAGAATGGTAGGTTACACAATAATGACAAGAATGGCCACTGATAACATGATAAAAACCTGTGTTCATTAACCACAATACTAGATTCTGGGAGGTGGGTTTTTTGGTTTTTGTTTTCTGGTGACAGTCCTGAAGCTTGAACTCAGGACCTGGCCACTGTCCCTGAGCTTTTCCTCTTAAGGCTGGTAATTCCAAAACTTGAGTCACAGCTCCACTTCTGGCTTCTTGATCACTAATTGGAGATAAGAACCTTACGGACTTTGCTGCCTTGAGCTGGCTTTGAACCATAATACACAGATCTCAGCCTCTGAAGAGCTGGGATTAAAGGTGTCAGCCACTATTGTTAAATGAGTAGCACAGAGTTCTCATGCCACTCATGGATGTACTTTATGTCTCTGAACACATTACATTAAGACTAAGAATATATCTTGCATTATCTTACATTTTTCTTTTTAGAATGAAGACTTTTACATTTTCAAATAAGACTTTCTCTACTGTTTTTTTTTTATTTTTTTTTGGGGGGGGGGTCCGGTTGTCGGGCCTGTACTCTGGGCCTGGGTGCTGCCTCTCAGCTCTTCAGCTCAAGGCTAGTGCTCTACCACTTGAGCCACAGCGCCACTTCTGGCTTTTTTCTTTTTGCTTATGTGGTGCTGAGGAATCGAACCCAGGGCCTCAGGCATGCAAGGCAAGCACCACTGAGCCACCTTCCCAGCCTCTACTGGTCTTTAAGACACATTACTACTGACTCACTGAAGCAAATCTAAATAAAAGGAAGTGAATGTGAGAATAAAGTTCAACAGATGAAGGTGCTCCCTGCTCAGGACAGTTCTAATCCTACACCTACTCCCTGTCTAGCTGGCCACTCATCTTTCCATATGATTAGTTATACATATTCATGCTCTGTGTCTCTGTCTGTCTGTCTCTCTCTCTCTCTCTCTCTCTCACACACACATAAAAAGCTATCACATCATTTTCAATAGCTATGTGGTACTGTGTTATTAACATGTGCCCCTGGTTTATTTACTAATTTCCATCCTAAACATGTATCAGAGAAGACATGCTGATGGCAGAGAATACTCAGCAGCCTTCAGGAAAGCTGTACAGTCAAATGTTCCTGAATGGCTTTGCATAGAGTGATTGCTCCTGTTCCATCATGTGTAACACTTTAATAAATGCAAAGGATGGGCTGGGAAGGTGGCTCAAGTGGTAGAGCGCTAGCCTTGAGCTGAAGAGCTGAGGGACAGGTCCAGGCCCAGAGTTCAGGCCCCACAACCGGACCCCAAAAAAAAATAAAAATTAAAAAAAAATAAATGCAAAGGACACCAGATACCTATCATGTTCTGTATAGGTTTACCAGACATTTGTGATGTCCATCCCTCTAAGAGGAACCATTCACATAGGGGGGTGTATTTATTCCATCATCTGGAAGAACACTTGAAAATAAAGAGATTTAAATTGTGTTGTGTTTGGCACAAACACTTTAGTTCTCTTTCACAGCTTTTAAAATATTCAGCCTTTTCTGGCACACTACATACCCTAAATCCCAGCACTTGGGAGGCTGAGACCAGGATGATCATGAAGCCAGCTCTTTTCTCCCACCCCTTTCCATCTTCTTTTACTAAATCAAGTTTTTGTTTATTTGTTTTGTTTCTTTGACAATACTAGGACTGGGTGTCAGAGGCTCACATTCACTCAACTTGCTTGCTCAGCTGGTGCTCCACCACTTGATCCATAACCTTTAGCCCGTTTTTTTTTTTTCTGATTAATTTGATATAAAGTCTTGAGGACTTTTCTCCCTTGCTAGCTTTGAATCTCAATCCACCAGGTATCAGTGTCAAATAGTGGTATTATAGTACCTGGCTACAGGAAGTACTTAAATCATGTAAGGAAACCTATCAATTTTGCATTCCTCCTCATGGATTTTGAGCTATCCTGAAATCCCTCCAGGAGGTGAAAACCACTTCAGATGGTGGCATTATGGCTCCATGTTAAACTGCACAATTCTCTACTCTGAGCACAATTTTACTAGATTGCAAAAGTGATTATGAGGATAGGTAAAAAGGCCTGACAGCCGAGGGGCAATGTCATGCATCAACACTTCATTCAGGACATTTGGCTTGTAGCTCTACCATATTTCTATCAATCAACATCATCTGTAACAGTAATGATGGAATGGCAGAAAGCTCAGAGTTCACATGAGACTTACTGGGAGAACCTCTGAGCAGGTTTATAATATACAATTTTAAAGCACTTTATCAGAAAAGTACCATTTGTAGATACTTTTGCAAAAACACATTTTATTTGAAAATTTTTCTAGTATTTAAATTAATTTTAAGTGATACATAAAAACTATATTGGATACCATATGATATTTCAATATATGTATTCATTGTATAGTGTTTAAACCAGACTAAATATGTATCTACTGACATATTTATCTTTTGGTGCCAGTCCTAGGGCTTGAACTCAGGGCCTAGGTGCTGTTTCTGAGCTTTTTTTTTTTTTAAATGCTCAAAACTAGCACTTTACCATGTGAACCACAGCTCCACTTCTGGCTTTTTGCTGGCTAACTGGAGATAAGAGTCTCACCACCTTTCCTGCATGGCTGGCTTTAAGCTGTGATCCTCAGGTATCAGCCTCCTGAGTGGCTAAGATTACAATATATACCACCAGTGCCTGGTTATCATTTCTTTCTTTAAAAAAAAATTACTTCATTGTTATAATAAAGGTGATATAATGTATAGTTACATTAGTCAGGGAATGAGTACATTGCCTTTCATATAATGTCTTCCCTTTCCTCACTCTCTCCCAGACTATCATTTCTTTTTCCATTTTTTTTTATGCCAGTCTTGGGGCTTGAACTCAGGGCCTGAGCACTGTCCCTGAGCTTCTTCTGCTCAAGACTAGTGCTCTATCACTTGAGCCACAGCACCCCATCCAGCTTTTTCTGTTTATGTGGTGCTGAGGAATTTAACTCAAGGCTTCATGCATGCTAGGCAAGCACTCTAACACTAAGCCACATTTCCCAACAGGCAGACTATCATTTCTTTATGGTGAAAATATTCAAATTTCTTTCTTCTACCTTAACTACATTATTTGTAGTAACTCTAGTCTGAACAGCACCTCACAACTTTTTCATTGAAACAGAGTCTTGCTCTGTAACCCAGAATGACTTCAAACTCCTACTGCCTCCTGGATATAGGCATTATGGATAAAAGCCATTACACCTAGCTCATTACTGCCACCAATTTCTTACTCCTATTACTCCAACTTAGAACCTACTAATCAAATTCTTCCCGTTTCCCCGCCCCCCCACCCCCACCCCCCGCCTTGATAACCATTATTCTCAAGAAATTCTTAAAAACCTTTAAAAATGTTCTGTGCCTTACCCACATATATTTTTTTACAACAATCAATTCAGAAGGTTTGACTTTAACATTATTTCAACTAGGCAATACATTTTTATCTTAGGGCTTAAGGAGTCATTTTTAAATAGCTTTAATAACAGGTACTTAAAAAAAGAATAATTTTAATAGTTCATATATTTACATACTTAAGTACCCTGTATTTGGCTAGGTGTGGTGACACATCCCTGCAATCATAGCTACTCAGGAAGTAAAGATCAGGCTGATCAGTTTGAGGTCAGCCTAGGTAAAGTTAGACCTCATGTCAATAAATAAGCTCAGCATGATGGTATGTCTATAACCCCAGCTATATGAAGGACACAGGGAGGGGAATTCTGGTCAGAGGGTAGCCTAGGCAAAAACTTGAGATCTTATTTTACAACGTAACTGAAGCAAGTTGGGCACTGGTGGCTCATGCCTGTAATCCTAGTTATTCTGGAGGCTGAGATCTGAGGGTCGTAGTTCAAAGCCTGCCCAAACAGAAAAAAAATCAATGAGGCTTTTATCTCCAATGCACTACTCAGAAAAAGCCAGAAATGGTGCTGTGGCTCAAGTGGCAGTGCTAGCCTTGAGTACTGAGAGGCTCAGGGGCAAAGCCCAGGCCCTGAGCTCAAGGCTCAGCACCAGCAAAAACAAAAATAAACAAAAAACTGAAGCAAAAAAGGGTTGGTGTATAGTGCCCACCTACCAAATATGAGTCCTAGAGTCCCAGAGTCCAAACTCCAGTACACTCCCTTCCCTATCCTATATTTGATATACTGCAATAACCTCAATGAGATTTCAAAATGTTTTAGGTATAAATTTTTGAAAATATACCCATTATTTTCCTAAAATGTTTTGTTTGTAGGAGAAAGAAAGAGGCTATGAAGGAACTAAATTTTGTTTCATGGTTTTATACTTTTAAATATCTTTAATATTTCACTCTAATGCAATACTTAGATAGGCATACTGGAAAAAAAAAGGAGGGCTGAGGGCTCAGCTCAGTGAGCGAGTGTGTGTCTATCATGCACATAATCCTGGGTCTGATTCCAAGCACCACATGGGAAAAAAGGTCATGCAACACACAAATATGCTGCAATTCAGAATAAAATGGCTGTCAAGCATAACTTCTTCCCTAGACAGAGGAAAAAGCTGGTGGCAACCAGTGCTGATGTTTTCATGACCAGTATTTCCACTGTGCTCTCCTATCTAAATGGAACTCTTAAAATGATTTTCCCTAAGCAGCAGAAAGCTAAGTGGCCATGAAATCAGTATAGAAATATGGTGAGCAGGGGCTGGGAAGGTGGCTCAGTGGTAGAGTGCTTGCCTTGCATGCCTGAGGCCCTGGGTTCAATTCCTTAGCACCACATAAGCAAAAAGAAAAAAGCCGGAAGTGGCGCTGCGGCTCAAGTGGTAGAGCGCTAGCCTTGAGCTGAAGAGCTGAGGGACAGCGCCCAGGCCCAGAGTTCAGGCCCCACAACCGGACTCCCCCCTCCCCCAAAAAAAGGAAATATGGTGAGCATAAGCCCTGATATGGCTCAGTGCTTCCCATTTGTTATGAGTAAACATGTATTAAATACGCATACAAACATACTGAGAAAGGACACTGTGGTAAGCTAGAATGGAATTATTTACTAAATGGAGAGGAGTAATGTGTCACACTAACATCTGCTGCCAAAGCATTCTCCTTTGTGAAGGAACTCTGAAACATTTTTTTTTTAAACTAACTTTCTTCTATTTAAGGCATGAAGTGAAAACTTAAATGCTTATGGCTATAAAGGTTGCAACTAAAGGAAGCTTCAGACATTCCTGAAGGCAACTTCAATGATATTTGATATAGAGAAAACCAACAAAAACACACATTTTAGGAAAATCCCACACAAACAGGCATTTCTAGCATGACCTTCCTAGGAAAAACACTTCTAGATGCACCACATCCTGTCTTCACGCACACACCTGGGGCTCTTGTATACAGAACATGACAATATCATCACCTTTTTAAGAAAGGGTTAGACTAGTGCACACACCCACAACATACCACCATCCTATCTTTAGACCTGCTCTCACTTTCCTGCTGGGAAGGTAGGCACCCTCATTCCCACGGTCTCTCCTCTGGTCACCATTTCACTTAGATCAGCTTGCTTGGACATATACCATCCAGGACATCACTGAGGTCTGAGCGGGAAGGGGCCTGAGCAATAAAGGCTAATGCCATGTACAGAAAACCCATCTGTCACAGTGGCTACTATTTAGGACACACCTACCAACTCTACAAGGTAGGTACCATACCTTGTTCACACAAAATCAAGGTTAAAACAGGTGTCAACATCACACCACTACTGATAGCACTAAGGGGAACAATAATCACTGAATTTAGGTCATGTACCACCCTGATCCTCTCTGTTCACGAAACCTTCTATCCTCCCAGGACTACAAAAACAAGTGCCACTTTTTACTTTATGGAGGACAAGACTGCAAATAGAAAGCCAGGCTTTCATTTAAACATGGGAGCACAGCTTGCAATATGAAGCTTCGGCTGTGGCTCCACACCCAGGCCCTTCCGGCTTCCTGCTGCCTGAAGGCTTCTTGGATTATTTCAAGACTTCAGGGCCCTCCGGAGCATCTTTGCTCTATGCTGCTAAGTCCACCTCACTTCTGAAATGACACAGCTGTATTTCTAGGATATTTACTCACTCAAATTTTTGATTTCACACAATGATTTAGAATTAACTTTGTTCTTTGACTATCCTAAGCTTTATATAGAAAAAAGAAAAGACTTTAGTCAATATAAATTACTAACGACACTGTTTTAAAACATCATAATCTCAAGAATAGCAAATTAGAAAATACCCTAAGAAGGCTGCTCAAAATATGGCATGTTGAAAGTGAAAGAGTGAAACTGTCTAAAAAGAAATGTACTCACTACTTGACTTATAGCCCCTTAATAACAATAAAACTATATTTTAAAAAACAAAACAGTATTGTGAATGAAGATAAGGTTGTCTCTGTGCTCTGTCACACAGGTCTTGGCCTGTGTGACCTGAATCACTGATACCTCTTCCCCATTGAAAATAAGCATTTAGATAATACAAGGCTCAGGAACTCATCGGCCCTTCACTTTTATGCCTTTACCAACTGGAGGTGAGACAACCTAATCATTCACACGAAGAGCTGCAGGCAGTAACAGAAATAGAACCTTACCTTTCTGGGGTCTGATGATAAAGGACTGTGTTGCTCCATTCACCAGCCGGCAGTAGCCATCTATCAGGTCAGCCATGTTCTCTGCGATAGTTAGGGATGGTGCCGTCACTGTCAGAGGCTAAACGGGACAGATCAAGAAAGAGACATTATTGTTCTTGCAGTATCAAAGGGACAGCTGTGCTATGACATCAGACTCCTACTAACACTTAGAAACAAAGGAATGGGAATGAGACAAGGTTTGTCAGGATTCAAGACTGGAGGGAAACAGGAAGTTGGATATTTAAGGGTCTTATTCCTAGGAAATTTAATAGAAGACAAATCCAGTGTGAAGTCATTTAAACAAAGGCTCACTTCTAGAAGAAAAGGAGCTAGAAAGAATACTTTCTTCAGAATGCCCAGCCCTTCCTCAACAATCTAGGAGGAGAATTTAGATAATTGGTAAGTTAAGGCACCATTTGTTTCAGAAGTGAAACTAGTGTGTAATTTTTATTAACCATCACAATTTTTCTTTTTTTTTTTGTCGGTCGTGGGGCTTGAACTCTGGGCCTGGGCGCTGTCCCTCAGCTCTTCAGCTCAAGGCTAGCGCTCTACCACTTGAGCTACAGTGCCACTTCCGGTTTTCTGGTGGATTATTGGAGATAAGAGTCTCACGGTCTCTCCTGCCCGGGCTGTCTTTGAACCACGATCCTCAGATCTCAGCCTTCTGAGTAGCTAGGATTACAGGCGTGAGCCACCAGCGCCCGGCTCCATCACAATTTTTCAAGCTGAAACATACAGCATGTTTTACCCAGAGGCTTAAACATCACTCTCTTGATATCAAACATGTCCTATATGATAAATTTCTTACGTGCTATGAGAGACATATAGATATGTTCTTATTCATATGACTGTTTATAATTTCTTATGTGAACAACTTATTTTGCTTGCATTACCCTAAATGTTATTTGAGGGACAATAAAATGAAAGGAGAAGCTGGGTGTGTGACACATGCCTGCTGTGCCAGCACTGGAGAAACGTGAGTTCCAGGCTAGCCTAGGTGACATGGTGAGACCTTGCCTTACTGACCCCCTAAAACCAAAGCTTGGAAAATGAAGGTCCAAACTCATTACTGAGATTTCTTCAGGAAATTTTTACATGTTTTCAATGTCATATTGTAATATTTGCTGACTGCACAATCAACAGAACTTGTAGAGGCTCATAAATCTGTCATGAAGCTTACAGGATCAGAGACAGGACAGTGGCAAAGAGGCCCAGTTGGAGGGGGCTACAATAGAGAGAAGAGCTGCAGACAAACTGCTCAAATGTGCAAAACTGTGAGCCACGCAAGGCCTGATTCCTCCTTCCACAGGAGTGTGCTTTGTCTAGCTTCTAGAAAGAAGCATGTTGTTGTTATTATTATTTTTTGCCACCTCTTATTTCTTTCCTGTTTTTTACTACATGTTGTTTTTTGAGGGTCTATGTATGTAAGGCTGGCCTAGAACTCACTATGTAGCTCAAGCTGGCTTTGAATTCTAGACTCTCCTGTTTCAGACTCCTGAATGTGTATACCCCATATCTGGCCCTATTGTTGCTTTTTTTTTTTTTTTTTTTTTCAGTACTGGAGCTTAAACTCAGGGCCTGGGTGCTGTCCTTGAGCCTCTTTGCTCAAGGCTAGTGCTCTACTATTTGAGCCACAGTTCCATTTCTGGCTTTCTCCTGGTTAACTGGAGATAAAATCTCATGGGCTTTCCTGCCTGGGCTAGATTTGAACCGTAGCTCTCAGATCTCAGCCTCCTGAATACCTAATGGATTACAGGCATGAGCCACTAGCACACAGCTACTTCTTGCTTTTGTTGCACAGTGATTAAGGAAAAAGTCTTCGGATGCTGACTGCTAGAGTGCGTACTCCAGTCACGACCACGTGCACAGCATTGTCCTCATCTACAAAATGTGGTTAACCACAACATAGTGAAGTTGTCACTTCACTTGGTTATATCATGTGACCATAAGCAGCACCGCTGCTGCTATTATCGTGAGTGCTATTGCCCAGAGAACCTCCAAGACGACAGTTTAGGAAATAGCAGACTCAGTGAACATGTACACATAATTCAACAAGATGATTTCCTTCCTATTTCCTAATAATCATATTTACAAGTGTTCTTGATTTTAAAAATCTGTCTCCTACTATATTTGTGGGAACATTAATTACTACTTGTAATGTAACCCTTAGATACATGAGAAAATTTTGATTTTTGACCTTTCATGAAACTGTCATCTTATTTTAAAAACCATCATTGCCAGTCGGGTGTAGTAGCACACATCTGTCATCCCAGATATGCTGGAGGCTGAGACTGGTAGAACAGTGGTTCCAACCTGGCCTGGATAAAAAGTTCACAATTTCTATTTCAACAGAAACGGCTAGGTGTGGTGGCACACACCTGTCCACTCAGCTGTGGAAGGGAGTGTAAAAAGGATCACAGTCCAGGTGTGCAAGACCAGGCACAAAGTGAGTTCCTATCTCAAAACTATTTGGACTAGGTAGGGAGCTGGCAGCTCTTGCCTATAATCCTAGCTACTTGGGAAGCTGAGAATGAGAGGATCCTAGATGGAGGCCAGCCCTGATAGAAAAGTTTGTGAGACTCCTTGTCAATCCATAGCTGGGTGCAGTGGCATATACCTGTCATTCTGAGCTATGTGGGGGGTTAATAATGTGAGGCTGGACTCCTGGCCAGCCCAGGCAGAATAGTCAGGAGACTCCATCTCATCTGTGAAGCTAGCCATGAAGGCACATACCTGACATCATAGAAACTATGAGAAGCCTGAAAAATGGATGGATCTTGGTCCAGGCATTAGCCTGGAGAGGGAGTGACACCTAATCTCAGAAACCAAAAAGCAAAACACAGAGCTAGAGGCTTAGATCAGAGGTAGAGTGCCTGTATACCAAGCATGAGGCTCTAGTACAAACCCAATACTGCCACAAGTAATAACCAGAGCAAACAATAACAACAAACAAATAACAATAAAAACACAGCAAAAAGGAGCTAGAAATAAAACTCAAGCAGTACAGTATCTCCTTATCAAGTGTGAATCTTAAGTTCAAACCCTAGTTCTGCCTACTCAAAGTATTATTTCTGAAATTTCAGCATTCTTCTGCTTCCCACTGGTGATGTGTGGGGTTCCCTTACCTCAGGTGCACCTGCGATTTTGAGCTGCAGCATTCCTTTTCTGTCCTTGTCTTCACTGTTTGAATACTGAATTGTCTGCACTTGGTTGAAGTCAGCCAGATGTGTGGGCTTTGGGAAGCAAAAATAAAATGTTTAGGCCACAGATAAATGCCTCATTTTACTAGTTCTGTTAAGTGTTCTGTGAAATTCTCCAGGTTCTAACAGCCAGTCCATTCTCCTAAAGACATGCTAAGACTGGATTCTCTAAGCAGGCCATGAGGAAGCAGTTGTACAATCATCTCCTGGGCTTTTAAAGAGCTACTTGGCAGAAATACAGTTCGCACAAAAGCAGGGACAGAGTGACGGAAGGAAAGGTAGAGAAAGAAAAGGAAAAGGGAAGGGTGGAGAAAGGAAAAGGACCAACGGTGCTGAAGTCAAGAAAGTAGTAGCTGTGGGGTGCAGCAGTGGGGTAGGAGGAGCTTCAGGAGTTCTGAGATTGGTTTGTTGAAAATTAACAGCTAATGTGAGGTTTGAAATATGAAGAAAAACATACTACAATACTGGTTATGTGGCTGGGTGCTGGTGGCTCAAGCCTGTAATCCTAGCTATTCATGAGGATGAGATCTGAGGATCATGATTCAAAGCCAGCCTAGGCTATACAAGAGCTCAGGTAGCACTAATCTGAGGGCTCTTTCCTGGGCTCATACTTGTAGATGTGCTTTTTCATTTAATTTTCTGATTTAGACTTGTATCAGTATTGCAATTTTGAACACTTGGGAGAAAGACATCAATTTCAAGAAACAACAGTAGAGGGAGCTGTCAAGCTGGACTGGCTGCAGAGAATAAGACATGATTTTCCCTCAGGTCATTTTGCTCAGTTAAAGTAAGGACAGGCAGGACTTCACGGATTATGAATGGAAGAAAGTAATTTTCTTCCTCTGGAGATAGTCTCAAGAGGCTGTTTCAAAGGCTAATTTGTCATTATAAATATACTCTATATATACAACACAGTAAAAACTATATTTAAAGCTGGGGAAATAGCTTGCCCTGGTTCAATCTCTAGCACTGCAAAAAAATAAAAAATAAAAAAGTTTTTAAAAAGTATGTAATAAAAAACCCATAAACACACAGAACCTCTCCAGATAAACTGGAATAGCCTCATCCTGGCCTCACTAACATATAAACATGATTTACATGATTCATTTCTTCCCAAGATTAAGAAACCCTGAAGAATCTTTAAGCCAGACTCCAGGTATCCTTGCCACCCACCAGCCCTAAACAAGAAGCACCATGTAATCAAAAAGGTTATATGGAGAATTATGTCTTTCAAGAGGAACATCATCCCCTCTTCACTCTAACGATTCTATCTCCAGCAAGTTTAAGAGCCATCACAAGGGCAGACTTACATTGCAGCCCTTGTCTGTCAGGTAGCTGATCCCTTCTTCTGGGCCAATTGCCAGTTCCACTGAAATAATCCAGCTTGACTTTGGAAGGTCAAACAGGTGAGGACCATGCAGGAAACAGAAAAAAAAACAAAAACAAAGACTTTAGATCAAGGGCTATGGAGATATTAAAAAACCAAAGCACTTTTGGGGAGAGGTGTCGCCATTATCTAACCAAGTAAGGTTGCCTAGACAGATATATTGGTATCATTTCAGCACACTGGATGCCAGCGTTTCCCTGGGAAAGTGATCATAAAAGGACAAATTAGCTGCTTTGGAGAAATGCATTGAATAACAAGCTGGAATTTAAAAAAAACAACTATACTTATAAACATAGGCATGCTATTTTAAAAGGCTTATTTATTTTCATGTCGATATATTCTTTTTGTACTTTTTCCTACTATAAAATGACAAAATAGTATTCATATATTAAAAGAAAAGTATGATAAATTAATTTTCTTAACTAGACATCAACAGCTTAATGCCTGTAATCATAGCTATTCAGGCAGTTGAGATCTAGAATCACAGTTTGAAGCCAGCTCCAGGAAAACTCCAAGAGACTTGTCTCTCCAATTAATCAGCCACAATAGAGCTGTGGCTCAAGTGGTAGAGTGCTAACTTTGGGCAAGAAAGCTCAGAGACAGTGCCTAGGCCTTAAAGTTTATTAAACTACAGGCACAGGGAGGCTTTGTGGAGGATTTTCTTTTAACCAGAAATTTAGGTACACATGGATAAGAAAAAGAAAAAGCAAACAAACTAGTACCATCTCCACACTTCCATACTTACCCCAAGAGCACACTTGAAACATTCTTTGTCATATCGATACACTGGAGAAAGGATTTCAAAGAATTTCAGAATACTTTCTTCTCTATTAAGGTTGGCAAATTGTCTAAATGTTTGTTGTATCAGTTTTCTTAATGTTTTGGCCTGCATGATAAAATTACAAAAAAGAAAAAAAAATTTTTAGAATCAGCTAATACTAACAGCCACAGCAGTAACTACAAGATATTATTCTTACTCACTACTTATTTAATGCTACCTACATTTATATTACTAAAACTATATTTATCAGAGCTTTACTTATTATAATCGTAGTAAAATATACGTAACAAAATTTGCCATATTAACCATTTCTAAGGATACAGTTGAACAGTTTTACTTCTTCGACAGAACCTTGTTAAAGCAGTAATCTGCATTTATAACAAATGGTCCTAAGTCAGGCGTTAACCATGTGCCACAGATGCATATGGTGCAGCAGTAAGGTCAAAGGCATATAGTTTCTCACAGGTTCTACAGTCAAGGGACAAACAGATATGCCTCTCAGAAGACAGCATAAATCATAATCTTTAAAAGCCCAACCTCTGACCTAGAAAGTGAAACCCCAGGACACTATGTTTTAAAAATGACAAAAGACACTTGCAGATATTCAGCAACAGCGAAGATTCACTGCAGAACCATGTACAGTAGCATATGATGCATACAAGTCAAGGTATCTATTTTCTCAATTGATACTTTGCAGCTTAAAAACTATTTTGTGGGACTAATTCACTGACCTTACAGTCCATATCTTACTGCTTTAAAAGAGAGATATTAGTCTGTATGTACAAAATAGATGAATTAAGGAGAGCATACAATGTGCCTCATGTAGACATCTGGGCCTAATATGCACACATGATGGGGAAAAACAATTATGGATTTTTAGCCTGCAGTGGATTACCAGTAGCCTCTGCTCCTGAATGTGTGTGTGTGTGTGTATGTGTATGTATGTGTGTGTGTGTGTGTGTGTGTGTGTGTGTGTGCGCGCGTGCTCTGATGCTGGAGCTTGGGTACTGTCCCTGAGCTTTTTCTTGCTTAAGGCAATAGCGCTGTACCACTTGAGCCATAGCTCCACTTCTGGCTTTATGCTGATTAACTGGAGGTAAGAGTCTCATGGACTTTCCTGTCCTGGCTGACTTCAAAATGTGATCCTCGGATTTCAGCCTCCAGAGTAGCTAGGATTACTGGTATGAACCACTAGTGCCTGGCCTCCAGATCTCTTTAGATCATCTTAGTGTCTCTTTTCACACACAAACACCTGCATGGAGGAACAAATACTCCTAGACAGCAAGCCTCAGGTAGGTGTGTAGGGTGTGAGGTAGCTGCAGAGACCAGGGGGTAATGACTATGTGGAAAGATCAGGAGATGGGGTTACAGTATGAACTCAACCCATACCCTGTTTATGAGAAGTCCTCAGGTAGCTTGGAGCAGTGGAGTGATATTATCTGACTTAAGGTTTTTGGTGATTTTTGTTGGTCCTAGGGTTTGAACTCAGGGCCTGGGTGCTGTCCCAAGCTTTTTCACTCAAGGCTACCCCTCTACCACTAGAGCCATAGTTCCACTTTTAGCTTTTTGATGGTTCATTTAGAGTCTCACGGACATTCCTGCCCAGGCTAGCTTCAAACCACAACCCTCAGATCTCAGCTGCCTGAAGAGCTAGGATCACAGGTGTGAGCCACCTATGTCCAGCAACTTGGCTTAAGTTTTAATAGGGATGCTGTGTTGCCAACAACAGGAAGGGAACAGGAGAGATTAGAAGCTCACCAACAAGCCAGGCAGGAAGTGACAGTTGGCACAAACACAGAAGTGGAAAGGGAGTGAGAAGTGGTCAGACTCTGGTTTCACTTTGAAAGGAGAACTAGGAGGAGATGCTGTTATATAAAAGCTGTCAATGCACTGACATGGAAAAAAACTGTGGGAAGGTGGGAAACGTATCAGAGATCACGAGGAGCTTTCATCCATTATGGTCATGGGGGTGATGGCCTGTTGGAATGATTGGGGAATCCTGGGGAATCAAAGGATTACTAGGCCTCCAAGAGGGGAATTTAGGAGCTGTGGTGAGAAAGGGGTATACAAGGAAGGATGCTGCTATTGAAATGAGCAAGACCAGAGTGGAAGGTGGAGTACAGCAGAGGGAAGATACCTAGAAGGTGTGATACTGGGTGTGGGAGAGCACATTGCTTCTAGAGGCATGTGACCTGTGTTCTAAACACATGCCTCTAAAGCACAAATCTATTCTTGCAGAGATAGGAGAGTGTGTAAGAGTACAAGCAGGAAGACTAGTGAAATCCCTGCAACAGACCCAGTCATTGACTGAGGTACATACAGACAGCACCTGCCAATCAGGTATACAGAAAAGAGGGCCACAGCCAGGAAGGCTGGCCAACACTGGTTTAACCACGACAAAGGGCAGAACTAGAGAATTAAAGCTCTTCTTTAGATCAGATTCTGGTCAGATTCTGATCTAAAGTGATGGGGATCACGCTGAAGTGATGGGGTCAAGGTCAGTAGAGTTTAACCATAAAATGTATAGGATGCTCTGTTGAGAAAAGGCTGGCAAATATATTTGGGGGCTGTGAATCCAAGAACTAGCCCTGTGTCAAGGGACTGAAAAAGTCACTCTCTTGTCACAGGTCTTGGTCTTACTGCATTTAATTGTTGTTCCACCTTGAGACTTTCCAATTACTTGCTAAATCCACCTACTTACATCTAACTGTCCACCAATAAAGAATACTATAAATATAGAGATTTGAGTATTGCCTCTAGTTGTCCATTAAGACAGTTTAGTTATCGTAACTGAACAATACATGTTCTGGAGTTTGCTAGATAGAAACAATAAGAAGTGGGTCCATCCTCTTGGGGGCAGAACAAATCAACTAGGGAATTTCTACTCCATGATTTGGCATTTAGAATACAGTGAAGAACTGAGTTGTTCTCTAGAATCTCAGAGAAACAGCAAAAAGAGCTCTACTTTGCATTTGTAGCTGCAGGAAGCACTGGTAATGATGTGGGTACACTGCTGGGTGGCACTGACTGAAACACACATACAAAATGGTACCTGGAAAGTCATCTTCAGACCTTCCAGATATGAACTCCATATCTCCATAGTGACCCCTGCAAAGCAGATACTGTTTTTCCTAGAATGGTGAGCAGAGACTTAGAAAGGTTATGACAGCAGACAGGGGTGGGTAGAAGGGCGGGATGTAACTCCAGGCAGCATGAATTTTTCCACAGGCTCTGTGATAAGCACAAGTACCGCCTTCTCTAAGACGCTCTCTAAATTGCACCAGAAATGACTGTCACATTCTAGTTTTATCTCACTCTTTGAAATGCAGGTAAGCATATAAGATCCGTATGGGTGGGAGACAGCCTGTGTTATTTTCATTCCCTCCCTCTAAGAAGGTACTCAACAGCTGAAACCCAACTACGTGCGTTATCTATCATAACCGGTCTCATGTGACCTAAGGCCAAATGAGTAAGTAAAATCTAGCTCTGTTTTAAAACGGACACTTCACTTTCCAGAATGCTGGCTTGTTTACAGCACAGGCTGCCTCAACAGGCTGATGTTCTGGTGGTAAGCAACATCTCCATCAACAAGTAGAAAACAAGTCTGGCAGAGGCCTCAGGTCGTTGACTACCACTTCTACCTATGTGTGATGCTATGGATTATGCTACTGTAGCAGGTCAGAGAATCAAGCTGTAAACAATACAACTTTACTTTGCCTCTAATTTCTAACCAACTGATTGTCTATAAATTACTGACAATAACACCAAATATGTCCTATCAGTTATTGAATGACCTTAAAAATTCACTGTCTTCTGAACAACTAATGTACTCCTTATCAAAATGAATACCAAGAAGTGGAATCAGGTTTGGGAGTGGAAGGCCAAACAGGGAGAGAGGGGCACAGGAATGGAGGAAAGATGCAATCTTTATATTCAATGTAACTTATGTACATTGAATGGGACAGCCCCTTGGTCTTTGGTCTTGACCTTCAAGCTTTTTTTTTTTTTGAGGGGGGGGAGGTCCGGTCGTGGGGCCTGAACTCTGGGCCTGGGCACTGTCCCGCAGCTCTTCAGCTCAAGGCTAGTGCTCTACCACTTGAGCCCACAGTGCCACTTCTGGCTTTTTTCTTTTTGCTTATGTGGTGCTGAGGAATCGAACCCAGGGCCTTATGCATGCAAGGCAAGCGCTCTACCAATGAGCCACCTTCCTAGTCCCTTGACTGTAAGCTTTTGATAATATCAGAGCCAGAAATTTATAGTATCTTGCAAAGTATTCTTAGTAACTGAGGCATATATTTATTGTAGAATCTGGTTTTGGGACCTAACAGTTAATCCAAGCTCCACTAAATATGATAAATCCTGCCAACAAGTCAATATGAATGTTAACTACAAAATCCCTCTCAACATTTCAAAAGAGAAAAAAAAGGCAGATTAAAATGACTTTTGGGGAAACAAATATGTAGACACAATATTTATGAAAAAGCAAATATTAATTGACCTAACAATTCTATAAGACTATTCCAGAAAAAAACAAGAAACCAGATCTGAGCTTGTTTTTGGTTTTTTTTTTAATCCAGTTGTGGGGCCTGAACTCTGGGCCTGGGCACTGTCCCTCAGCTCTTCAGCTCAAGGCTAGCGCTCTACCACTTGAGCCACAGCGCCACTTCCGGCT